GGTTTGGGGGGGGGAAAGCAATGTGAGGCATTGATCAATCGGTCTAACGGGATACAGGGAGGAGCACTCCTATGCAAAAATGAGTGCAGATACTCGAGGACCTCGAAAGCTCAAACCTTGCGGAAGGTTCCATAGGATGGGTTGCTGTACAAAATTGAGGCCCAATCTAAAACTGTGTACAACCTCCTGAAACAATATTTTACCATGGACATGGTGTTGGGGCCAAATGTGGAGAGATACCAATTCACATTCATTCAACCAATAAGGGCATTGAAGAAGACAAGCACCACGGAAATAACGAAGGACCGGGACAGCACAATTATTGACAAAAGAAGCGACGGGGCCATGTTCCCATTGTCCCTAATGATTGTATCGCCTTCATCATAGCCAGTGGGCATGTGGAATGACCCAGTTATAACCAAAGCGTATGGCTGGGACTTGGTGTTGACTGTACTTCCAGCCACTTTCACAGTATAATTTCCAATCGCTGGCTTCCCAACTGCAAACAAAAGCCAAATTCACAGACACCCAGTTAGAACCAGTTTACCTCAAAGGTGCAACATGTGAACTACTCCATCAACATGTGCCCAAATGAAGCCAGACCATGCAGCTGACGAAGCTGAATGCACTCTTAACCTAGGCAGTTTCCAATATCCGGGCCGGATGTCCACCCCCGATATTGTCAAGAAAACAGAAAGGGCATGCTGCCTGTGAAATATGCAATGAACACAGATCGTGAAGACAGTCGTCAACAATGCAAGCCCGGATGAATGTCAACCAGCTGATGATTATCAATAGTCAAAATCGTATCCAGACAGAATGAGATGAGATAATCATACACAGACGAAGAGAGAGGAGGGAGATTAGACAAAGGAGAGGAAATGAATACAATGCCCACTCCTGCTTCGGGCTCCCTCCTCGATCACCACCTCAATAGTCGATAGTCTGAACGAGTATCTAAAGTAACCTCAATGTGCCACGTGGCACGTCTAATCAGTCCCTCGTCAGCGCTGGAACAACGTCGACATGAAGACAACCAGGTACGTATCCACGATCTCTCCACAGTCCCAATCTCCTCCTGAATGACGATAATCAGAACAGCAACGCAAATCACATGGCTTCGCCTCGTCAACCGGTATTACACGTGGCCAGCCACGTCAGCGACAACGTTGTCAACAGCGTTGTAAACTGCTCCTGATATTGTTGCTGCCACGTCAGCATGCCAAGAAGACAGGTGCAAGCCAGCCACCATGCCGGACCAGCAGCGCGTCGCCGTAGACACAATGCCAGCACAGAGCCAGCGCTCAACCAGCTTCGCTGCGTCGAGCCAGAGTCGTCGTCAACGTGTGAAGACAGCATCGACGTAAGACAGAATGAATGTCAAAGCCAGGAAAGTCAGCGCTTATGTAGCATTGACTCGGGGTCTGGACCCCGGATGCTACCACCCTCTGCCGTCCAGATCTTGATGCAAGTAAGGCCCAGATTGGTCTGAAACCGATTTCCCTCCGGCCTGGATGCTTGTCTGGGTACCTGCGCACAACAAGTGAGTGTATCCAACCAAGGGCCTGGGTGTGGTACCTTTGACTCTACAGTTGACTTTGACCTTTGAATTTCCTGTGTGCAGCGTTCAGTCACACAGCCAACGTGACAGACTCAGGCCTGGGCGTGTCTTGGTCACACAGCCCAGCGCAGACCAACTCAGGTCTGCGTTGCCTGGGGCTGAGTTCTGGGCCCCAGGCTACTTCTGAACAGGGTTACTGCATTCCTGCCGACCCATTTTCGAGTTCCACTGCAGAAATATTTAAGACTTTAACCCTCGTTCATAAGCAGCGACAATATCAGGAGCAGTTTCAATTAGTTCTGGTTTACTAAACCATCTGTCCTCAGATGGTGTCTGAGACTTAAAATGTACCTTGAACTGCTTCTGAGGTCGTCCACGTCCTCCCGTAGAGAAGTAACCATGCTCTATGATTCGGTTTACCTCATATCCGCCATCCATGTCTGGTGGAATCATAGAAGGTCTACGTGGAAACTCATTTCCTTCTACGTACGATAACAATTTGGACGCGTGAAAGACAGAGTATGTTTTGAGATGAGGGGGAATATCAATTCGATAAGACGGTCCCTCTGCATCCCCAATTACTTTGAGAACTTCCCAGGGTCCAAAATAGACAGGAAGCAATTTCTGGGACACATCTTGTCTTGTTCTAATGAAAACTCTTTAGATTTTACCCAGACCAGATCACCCTCTTTGAATGTAGACGGTCGACGGTGCCTGTTGGCTTGTTCAATCATCCGTAGTTGAGCTTTCCTTAGATTATCTTTAACTTTCTGAATGTCCTCCTGGAACAGTATTGCATATTCTCGGGTCCCTGGGGGCAACCTAAGGAACTGGTCCCGGTTTAGTACATCAATGGGACGTTTAGGTTTCCACCCTTTGTGAAGTGCATTCGGGGTTCGTCCAGTGGAAGTGTGGACACTATTGTTATATGCACTAGCAATTTCGGGTAAGTTTTCGTCCCAATCAATCTGATCGGGTCTAACATACATACACAAAAGTTGTTGGCACAGACGGTTCATCTGTTCAGTCTGGCCATTCGTTTCGGGATGCCTCCTTGACGACATGGTCACCCGTGTGCCATAAGCTTCCATCAGCTTTTGCCATGGCAGACTGGATCCCTCGCAGGCATGGGTGATGAGTTTGGCCAGTTGGCCACTCGTCGCAAAGCCTGGGTCGAAATGAAAAAACGGAAAGGGCAGCTAATTGTCGCAAATCTAAAAGTCAATAAAGTAAGAGTAGGTGGTATGATTGACAGTGGGTCGACACGCAACTATATTAGTAAGAAAGGCCTGCAAAAGTTGTGTCTCGGGCTAAAGGTAAAACAGTTGGAAGAGCCCGTAGTAAGTAAACTAGCGAACAGTAGTGAGATTGTATTGGAGAGATATGTTGAGGGGATTCAAACATACTTTCGGCTCGAGGCAGAGGGGAAGGTGGAACGCGTTCTCCACTCTCTAACTCTCTTGGTGGAAGATAGTCTCCCTTTTGACATTCTCTTAGGTACAGATTGGGGGGAAGCTGTAGATGCGGAACGCGTTCTCCACTCTCTGACTCTCTTGGTGGAAGATAGTCTCCCTTTTGACATTCTCTCAGGTACAGATTGGGGGGAAGCTGTAGATGCGGATGTGAAGCTAAGGGACCACGAGTGTTGGCTCCCTAGTCCGCAAGGTGGAAAGAAGAAAATCCGCCTATTTCATGAATCCGGTAAGGAAAGCAGCTTAGCTCATTGTTGCACAAGTGCCCCCGCGTTCGCCCGCCATGTAAAGAAGTACAATTTATATGATCAAGTATTTGTGGCATATGTACGCCCAGTTAAGCAAGGTGAAGATAAAGAAAGATGGCGGGGTCCGCATGTGCATTGATTATAGGAGGTTACATGATTCGTTGGATCGAATTCAAGGTAGCAAGTACTTTAACAAGTGTTGGATTGATTATAACAGTTAAAAATGCTGAAGCGTTAAATTGAAGTCATAGAAGCGTTGGATTGATACTGCTCTATGACTTCAATCCAACGCTTCAGAGCGTTGGAGAGCACAGGTTGGGTTCTCATCCACTTCAGGGTCTAATGATCAACACTGACGTAGAAGAACCTCCCAAGGAGATAGTGCCTCCAATGGGTGAGCGCCTTGTAGATCGCATAGAGCTCCTTCTCATAGGTGGACTTAACCAACTTCTGAGATAGCATCTTTTTTGACATGTACGCTACGGGCCTCAACTTTTTCCCCTCCTGCTGCGCAAGTACGGCGCCTATGCCATATTGGCTAGCATCCGTAGTTACTATAAATGGCTTGTCAGGATCAAGAAGTTTCAAGACCTCATGATGCGTCAACGCATGCTTCAGACGTCTGAAAGCAGCCTCGCATCTGTCTGTCCACTCCCATGGGGTGTCAAGGCGAGTTAGGTCAGTCAAAGGGGCGGCAACTATGCTATAGTTCTTCATGAAGTTGCGATAGTAGCCGGTCATCCCTAAGCAAGACCTCATCTCAATCATAGACTGAGGACGCGGCCCGTCACGAATGCTGGCCACCTTCGCATCATCGGGCTTTAAACCACCAGTCCATCACCCCCTGTACTGTTCATTTTTTTTGTCGACAAGTACCAGACCGAAATCTACAGTGATCAGGCATGGAGGAGGCTTGGTGGGGGTGGGGCTGGCGGGCCCACAATTGAAAGAGAGTGCCACTGTGTGACAGCCACACCGCACTAGGCACACTCTGCAAGCTTTTGGATGCCTCGTCGTTTCCTGTGAAAACTGCCTTCCCAGCTCAGCAGGGCGGACTGATGTTCCTCAGTTGGTACACCAAGAAATGTTGAAATGCGGACCGGAGTTCGAGTCCATCTGCCATAAGATTATTTCTTCACTCTCTCGGCGTTTTGGCTAGGGAAGTGCAATCATGACACCTCAAGGTCGTGGCCCTTTCGAAGAAAAAGGAAGGAAAAAAAATATCAACAGAAAAATAAAACAAGATAAACTGCATGCCAGCTCAGCAGGGCGGACAGCTGCATTCGAAACAAAGCAAAGGAAAGAGCTCATAGGCATAGATCAGGGCAGACTCACAGTAGGAATGTATCTGACTGAAATTACGGTCAGACCTGGATGAATCTGACTGCGATCACATCCAGAGCGTAGTAGAACAAAAGTTTGAGTATGCCCTCAGTTGGTACACCGACGAACTTTTGAAATACAGCCCTAAGTTCGAATCCAGATCCCATAGACATAACTCGGAAATACCTGTTGCTCTCACTGATGATACCTCGTTTTTTTTTGGTTTTTTTTTTTTTCCAATGATGATACCTCAAGAACGTGGCCCTGTAAAAGCAAAGAAAAAGAAATGCAACCCCACAAAAAAAGCAGACAAACAGAAAGTTCGAAAAAAAAAATCCAAACAAAACGGACAGGCAGGCTGCAATGATGAGGGTTGCCTGCCTGCCTTTCCTTTTTGTCACACATGTTGCTGGTACCGGTACCATGTCCCGCGTGGTTGAATCTGCGGTCACTGTAGATGTCAGGCTCGGACAAATGCACTTTCTGGTTCGACAATTTAGCCTCCGATGGACTGGTGGTTTAATCCCTCCACGGAAATCTCATGACCCAAGTACAAGACACGGGTGCGGCCAAACTCACACTTCTCACTGTTGATCTTGAACTTGTGTTGTCGCAGAAGACTAAGGACTTTGTCCAAGTGAGCAACGTGCTCCTCGACAGTCTTACTAAAAATAAGTATGTCATCGAGGTACACGATGACAAACTTATCCAAGTAGTCATGAAATATCTGATTCATAGCGTGCTGGAAGGTGCCAGGATCATTGCAAAGGCCAAAAGGCATCACCACAAACTCATACAGACCGTACGTGGTCTGAAAAGCGGTTTTGTGTTGATCCTCGGGCCAGATTGCAATCTGATGGTCTCCGGACTTCAGATCTATCTTACTGAAGTACCG